AATGTTAAGATGCTTGGCTGTCTTTTGAATCTTGGTTTCCCTTGTATACCATTATAAAATAGACACTTGAGGGGGGAAAGAAAGGAATAGCCAGAAATATCACCATAGAAAGCTTGTAAGTTGTCTTCTGCCTATAACTGATTGTTGTTGTTGTTGTTAAGTGCCGTCGAGTCAGTTCCAACCCATAGTGACCCTGTATAGGGTTTCCAAGGAGCAGCTGATGAGCTTGAACTGCCGACCTCGCAGTTCAAACGGCTTTGCAGTCTGGTGCATTAACCCACAGCGCCACACCAGGAGTCCTGATTGGAATAACTGACTGGAACACCTAAAATGGGGCTACCACGTGCCCAGTGAAGGAGGCTTCCTGTGGAGCCTCTGCCTTACTTAAGACCATAGGTGGAATCCAGAACCACATCCAGAATCTTCTGAGGTGGGAATTCTCCAATTCAAAGGATAAACAGACCAACCTGGAACAACTAGAAGAACAGAACGTACTTTGTGAAAGAAAGACCGACAGGAAAAATACAAAACAATATAGGTATTCCGCCTGATTAGTACAAGTACAAGCAAGTTGCTCACCCGGGAGACATCATGGCAAGTGCTCAGGTCCCTTCAGGGCAAACCCCCTTCCAAGACTAAGACTCAATGGGACTACACAAGCTGACATGGCACTCTGATTGGTGACCATGTTCATCACCGATAAGGGAAAGTGAGGGAAAAACAGCAATGAAGCTGTGAGCTAAGCCCTACAACATTCAGTAGACTCCTGTGAAGCCAGGTGGAGACCTGGTTGGCCAGCAGTATGGCAAGACCTGGGGACTCCTGGGCCCAGAGTCAGTGACATAGCCACAGAGGACTAGAGTGGAGAGTGAAGTGTCCATCTGATAAAGAGGGGGCAAATGCATAAGAACACCCACACTTGCAGATAATACCTACTTGACCTGGCTTCATTGAATGGATGATCAGAGCTCAACTAGAAGAAGAAAGAAGAGGGAAAAAAAAAAAGTAATCTGATACGATTTGATGAACTTGACCTACACCTATGGATGCAGTAGCTCAAAAGAGGGAACAAATCTTTACAGCGAGAATCATTCCCACCCCCTCAATACACAGAGTAGACAGGGATGGGCAACTTGGACATTGGTTCCCTAAAATGGGGGGGAGGGGGGTCTACAAAGGCAAAAGTGACTGGCTTCCAAGCTTTCAAGAGGGAGCCTAGATCCAGAGGGTGCAGGAAGGTAGAATTTCCAGAGTAGTATCCTATTTGTCTGGGGAGTGGTGGTGGTGGGGCTGATGAAAGGAAATGCGGATAGGTCTCTTGTGGTACAATAGTGAATAATTGTTATCAGGACTGATTGTGAGGGTTGCAAATGTAAAGGTAGATGTTTTGTAGCAAAAGGAGGGGAGTGATTGACTTTGCAGTCTAGGAGCGGAGGTCCCTGGGACCATCAAGGGAGAAGAGTAGAGTGCGGGACCCTACCCAGAGAATCAGTGATGCCTGAGATGGAGGCAGAGACCATGACGGTGGAGAGATGGAGCAGCTGGGGACTATAGACCCAGAGAGGGAGAGGGACTGTGTGCTGATGACTGGGGGGCAGGCTTGCAGGGTATACCCTTTGGCTGGTTGATGATGCATGGAGGGGAGTGTAACCATGGCAATGAAATGATATACGATGGGATGAATGTAAAGCTAATGTTCTCCCATATAAACTCACATAATTAATTCACAATAACCATTAAAAAAAAAAAAAAGATCGACTGTTTTGGAAAATTGAGCTGTACTTGATGGCATTGGGTTGTGTAGATACTGTTATGTATTCTTACATATGCACACACCTAAACCTACCTGGGTGCCCATATGCCCATACTCACCTGTATGGGATCAAATAGTCCTTTGTACTTGGTTGGGCTGTGCTCATTACATCCACACTTGGAACTACTTGTCCCGTCACCAAAAGTAAAACATCTCTATGCTCTCATAAGGAGCTCTGGTAGCATAGTGGTTACGAATCGGGCTGCGAACCTCAGGGTCAGCAGTTCGAAACTACCAGTTGTTCTGCGGGAGAAAAATGAGGCTTTCTGTTCCCGTAAAGATTTACAGCCTCGGAAACCCTGTACAGGGTCGCTATGGGTCGGAACCGACTCCACGGCACATAAGCACCACATGTTTAACCCTTTGTACCACCCAGGGACTCCGCTGTTGTTGAGTCCATTTTCAACTCATGGCAACCCCATGTGACAGAGGTGATCTGCCCCTGAGGCCTTCTAGGGTGTCATGTTTATGGAGCAGAACACCAGGCTTTACTTCTGCAGAGTCACTGAGCAGGTTTGCCTCTCCATGCTGAACCAGGGCCCCCACTAGAGCTGAGACGTAGAACACACAAAGTAGTGTGGTGGCAGTGATGTCTGTGTGCCTCCTCTCCCTTCTCAAGGGGCTGTGGGCTGGGGGACGAGAGAGCTTCACTGTCATCAGCCCAGGGCTGACTCTTTGACCCTTTTCCCCAGCTCTGACACCAGCCGTTCCTCCCACGGTGCTCTCTGTGTCTCAGCTGGGTCCCATAAGCTGTTTCAGTGGCCACACAGAAGTCACACATGATAGTCAGTTTGGGGGGGTTATTGTTGTTATGTGCTGTGGAGTCAGTTCTGACTCATAATGACCCTACACAGGGTTTCCAAGGCTGTAAATCTTTACAGGAGCAGAAAGCCTCATCTTTCTCTGGCGGAACAGCTGGTAGTTTCGAACTGCCAACCTTGAGGTTAGCAGCCCGATTCGTAAGCACTAGGCTACCAGACCCACTGCTAATGAGTCATAAGTTCTGTAAATCTTTGTAGGAGCAGGCAGCCTCATCTTTCTCCCTTGTCTGAACCGCCACCTTTCTGGTTAACAGTCCAGTGCTTATCCTACGTTGGCACCAGGGCTCCGTTAGTCGCTGTTGTTCAGTGCCATTAAGTAACCCACTGTGTAGGGTTTCCAAAGAGTGGCTGGTGAGTTTGAATTGCCGACCTTGAAGTTAGCAGTCCAGCGCCCCACAAGGTTACAATCAGGATCAGAAATGACTCAGGACAGCCTCTCAGCCGTGCTCAATCCCTGGGCCCCTTGACCCAACCCTACCGTGTTTTGGCAAATGTTTCTAATTTTTTTGCTCTCGAGTAAAGTACCCAGGGGTATGTCACTCCTCTTGGAAGCCTCCTGCCTGAAGACACTCAGGCTTCTCAATCTGAGGATCAACAAACCGTAGTAACCGCCTTGCTCTGTGAACTGGGAAGCCCATTCGTTGTGCCATCTTGCACAGAACTAGTCTTTGGCACAGTGTTTTTTGTTTGTCACGGTGCTTTTAAACTAACTTTTTATTATGAATTGGGTGAAGGCTTACAGACAAGATCATCAACTCTACATTCAGCAAATGATATACTTTGTTCCATCTCAGTGATTAGAGTCCCCTCCCTGAAACAGCATTTATCTCACTTCCTCCCTGTGGCTCTCCATTTACATCTTATATTTCACAGATGAACAAGACAAAGATATTTGATATACACTTACAAAACAAAAACATATATATTAAATGGCCAAAGGGTACATTCTGTCAGCCTTTCTCCTGCCTGCAGGTACACAGCCACTGTCTCTGCTGTAGCTGCTGACTCAGGGCAGAGGGACTCAGGTGAGCTCGCACCCAGACTCAGTGACTAGAAGTCCACACAGTTGGGCTGAGCTGATCTCTACCAGCCTCTCTGAAAACAGGGCCTTCTTGGGGTAGGGAAGACCCTCATAATCAACAGTTGTGTCTTCTCTTTTACCAGGAAACTACTTTGCCTCACACTTTTTCATGGGTGGCGAGAAATTTGACACCCCCCATCCCGAAGGCTACCTCTTTGGTGAGAACATGGACTTGAACTTCCTGGGCAATCGCCCAGTCCAGGTGAGCTGGGATGAGGTCGGGACTGGGGTTAGAACAGGGTCTGGGACAAGGTCAGAGAGGGTTACTGGAGCGTTTGTATGTGTGTGGGGGGGTTTGCCAGAGACCTTGACTAGACCCCTATCTCAGCCCATGTCCCAGCTGTGAGGACAGTGGGCACTGGCTCACCCCAAGACTGGTGAGCCATCAGCCACGCAGGGTCAGTGTAAGTTTGCACTGAGTATGAATGTCTCCATGCTGCCCCTTAGAGGCAGAAGAGCCATCAGCAGGGGCTGATTAAACCAAAACCAAACCCACTGTCAGTGAATCGATTCTGACTCATACCAACCCGTAGGACAGAGTTCTGGTCTGGCACTTAAGATAAGCACTGGACTGCAAGGTTGGTTTGAACCACAAGTCGGGCAGTTCAAATTCACCAGCTGCTCCTGGGAAACCCTATACAGGGTTGCTGTGAGTCAGAACCAACTCGACGGCATTAACAGCAACAAGGACAGTGTATAACTGCCTCTTAGGGTCTCAAAGCTGTAAATCTTTCTGGAAGCAGACTGCCACATCTTTTTCCTATGGAGCAACTGGTGGATTTAAACTACAGACCTTTTGGTTAACAGTTGAGCGCTTAATCTCTGTGCCTCCATGGCTCTAGGAGTGGCTAACTGGGGACAGAGCCGCGCTATCGAAGCTGACGACACATCCAGGCTCCGTGGGGAGGTGTACGTTGATTTGCCCAGTTCATAGCTAGCATTCCAGCCTCTTGGATTCTTTTTTTTTTTTAAATCACTTCCCAGGAGGGAATGCCTATGGATCCAATTGAGTGAGCATATTTTCAGAGTTGGCCTTCTCTAAACTAAAATACCAGACCCATTACATCATATCATTTCGAACTCCTGGTGACCCGTGTATGTCAGAATAGAAGAAGCTTTTCTACGACTGTAATCTTAGGGTAGTGGATCACCAGGCTTTTATTCCACGGCACCACTGGCTGGGTTTCAAACCAACCTCCAGTTTAGCAGTCGAGTGCAAAACATTTTCACCACCTAACTGTTCACATGTTTGGTGCATGTGTGGCACCTGCTGTGTGCCTCAGTCTTCTCCCGGGGTGGAGACTCGGAGCAGGTCTCACGTGTTTCCCTAGTGGGACTGCAGACAGAGAAGAGGATAACACTTGGGTGGTGGGTGCTAACCTGGAAACAGCAGGAGCTGTGCAGAAGTCTTGGCTGAGCCAGGGCACACATGGGGGAAGGAGCCCCCCACTGCACAGAGTGGGGTGCTCAGAGGAGAGTGACCCAGTTGGTACGGTGCGGAGCCAGCCCAAAGTCTTCCAGAACAGGAACTCAGACCTCGCTTCCATACCTCTTCCCTCAGCTTCCGTGCCAAGGGCACAAGTGGCCTTCCACTGGCCTTAGGGGTCTTCTTTTCAAATAACTTTTTAGTTGTGAAATCATTGTATGTTCACCTGAGGTCGTCAGACACAATACGGAGAGAGTCCACGTACTCTTCACCCAGTGACCCCTTTTGGTAGTGTCTGGCCAGACACTGGAGCGAGCTGTCTCAGGCAGGCCATTGTCATTGATGCTATCCACCTACCCTTTTCAGATTTCAGTGGCATGTGCTTCTCTGTGTGTGTGTGTGTGTCACATCTTTATGGTCTGAGTAGCCTAGGATTGCTATAGCAGTCAATAGGTGGAGCTTGGCTGCAAGCAGAGAATACCAGAAAGATGTTTACCTGTGCTTGACTTACAATGCAAAGGCTTTCGCTTGTGTGGATCACTGCAAGCTATGGACAACATTGCAGAGAATGAGTATTCCAGAACACCTGAATGTGCTCATGAGGAACCTGTACATAGACCAAGAGGCAGTTGTTTGAACACTACAAGGAAACATTGAGTGGTATAAAATCAGGAAAGCTGTGTGCCAGGGTTGTATTCTTTGACCATACTTATAGGTTCTGTATGCTAAGCAAATAATCCGAGAAGCTGGGTTATATGAAGAAAAACATGGCATCAGGATTGGAGGAAGACTCATTAACAACCTACAATATGTACATGATACAACTTGGTTTGCTGAAAGCGAAAAGAAATTAAAATACTGATGAAGATCACAGATAACTGCCTTCAGTATCATTTCACCTCAATGTATAGAAAGCAAACATCCTCACCACTGTACCAATAAACAACATCCTTATAAATGGAGAAAAGATTGAAGTTGTCAAAGATTTCATTTTGCTCGGATCAGCCATCAACACTCATGGAAGCAGAAATCAGATGACGTATTGCACTAGGCAAGTCTGCTGTACAAGACCTCTTTAAAGTGTTCAGGAGCAAAGATGTCAGCTTGAGGACTAAGGTGTGCCTGACCCAAGCCATGGTATTTTCAATAACCTCATATGGATATGGAAGTTAGACAGTGAATAAGGAAGACTGTAGAAGAATTGACGCATTTGAGTTATGGTGCTGGAGGAGAATATTGAAAGTACCATGGGCTGTCAAAAGAACAAACCAATTTGTGTTGGAAGAAGTGCAGCCAGAGTGCTCCTTAGAAACCAGGATGGCCAGACTTTGTCTCTCACACTTCAGACATATCAGGAGGGACCAGTCGCTGGAGAAGGATGTCATATTTGGTAAAGTGGAAGGGCAGAGAAAAAGAGAAACCCCCCCAATGAAATGAATAGACACAGTGGCAACATTAATGGGCTCAAATGTAACAACAATTGTGAGGTTGGTGTAGGACCCTGGCAGTGTTTCCTTCTGTTGTACGTTGGATTGTTGGAAGTTGGTACTGATTCCATGGCACCTAAAACAAGAAGCAATCATAAAATACCACAGATGTGTGACTTGGTTGTTTTGTTAAGGACTTGTTTCATAGTTCTGGAAGTTGGAAGTCCAGTTCAGACCATCCGCAGGTCACATGCCCTCTGGGTTCTAGGGAAAGATCTGTTTTTCAATCCAGTTCCTCTTCCTGTAGTCCCGTGTGTTCCGTGGTTTGTAGAGGGTTCCTCACGTGCTGTCTTCTCCTGTCTGCTCTCCTCTTATAAGACACCACTCAGGCAGGATTAGGGCCCAGTGACATCTGCAAACCCACAACCCCTTTTCCGCCAAGTTGATTCCACAGAGCTGAGCCCTCTTTTCTCAAACACAGTCTCAGTCACAGGCCCAGGGCTAGGACCTGAGCACATCTGTTTGGGTACAGAATCGGGCCTGTAAACTGACCAATGCTGCAGTGTGAAGAAACTGCCCTATCCTACACCCCTTCCTCCCTCTGGCCAGGCTGAGGATGTCCTTACTGGAACTGCAGTTACAGTGGGGGGCCCTGGTTGGGTGACTTGAGTGACGACTCTGAAATCATCCCTGTCCCTGGAACTCCCCTCCTGAGTAAAATGGGAATAGTCGCCTCACCACCTTCATGCACTGCCCCCATACCCGGGGGTCTAGTGGGTGGTGGCACTTGCTTCCCCTCTGTCCTCTGTACTTTCTGGGGAGTCACTGAGGTTATTTGGGTTCCCCCCTAGTTTCCATATGTCACTCCCGCCCCCCATGAGCCAGTGAAGACGCTGAGGAGCCTGGTGAACATCCGCAAGGATTCGCTGCGGCTTGTGAGGTAACCTGGGTGCGTGCTCAGCTGGGGGGCATGGGGGACCTGCTTCTGGGCTTGGGAAGAGGGGAGGCATTGGGGGCCCATCCAGTCTCTGCTCCCCATTATGTAACCTCAGGAGACTGCGGACAGGGTGGGAGGGGAAGGTCAACCAGGGTTGGCTTGGAACCTGACCTTTAACTCAGACTTCTCTCCGGGACATCTGTGCCCTGGGGATCACTTGGGCATCTGCAAACATGACTGGTTGACACAGCTAGGCCGGCGGTGGTGTGTTCCTGGCACCTGGTGGGTGAGGCCAGCAATGCAGCTCAACACCTTACAGTGCACAGGCTGCCTTCACCATGGAATGATCCGGAACAAAGTGTCAGTAGTGCCAATACTGGGAAACTGGGTCTAGGACCAAGAGTCCCTTTAGCTTTCTGTGAACACATGAGACCATCTGGTCTCAGAACTAGAGCTGGGAATGGCATGACAGCCCCCTAGCAAGCAGGTGGTCTATGTGCTGCTGAGCTCAGGTCGGCCCTCACTCCATGACCAGGAGGAATCGGCTCCACATGTCGGCAGTACCAAGGTTGGGGCATTGTGGTATCTGGGGCTTTCTCAAATCTGAGCTCTTCACTCCTGCTCTCTGTGGGTTAGGAGGCGGGAAGGGAAACCCAGGTTGTTCGGCCTCGTCCAGATGAGAAGCACTCCCATGTTTGTTAGAACAGCGGGCACATGGAGGCAGCCACCAGAGTCCCTGCTGACCACTCCTCCTGTATCCACACCTCCCTGGCCCCTAGGAACAAAGAGGATACTGACAGCCCCACCGAGGAGAGTGAGAGGCCTCGGCTCCTCTACAGCTTGGAGTTCACCTTTGATGCGGACGCCCGTGTGGCCATCAGCATCTACTGCCAGGCCACCGAGGAGTTCCTCAACGGCATGGCTGTGTGAGTCCACACGCCCTGGCGGGCGCCTGTATAAATCACACATGTGCGTGTGCGTGCCTCACACGTGTGTGCGCAGGGAAGCCTGGACCCCAGCAGCGATGCTACCAAACCAGTTGCCTTCAAGTCCGCTATGACTCACAGCACCTCCGCGTGCATCAGAGTAGAAGTGGGCTTCACAGGGTTTTCCAGGGCTTGCCTTTCAGAAGTGAATCACCAGGACTTTGTAATAATATGTTTCTGGGAGGACTTGAACCTTCCACTCCTGATTAGTAACCGAGTGTGTTGGTGGTGTGCAGTGCCCAGCTCCCAGCTGTGTTCTGTATTGAGCTTTTTGTAGTAAACTCAGAACTCACTGGTACTGTGTTGATTCTGAACCAACAGGGTTTCTGAAGCTATAAATCGGTATGGGAGCAGACAGTCTTGTCTTTCTCCTGAAGAGCAGCTTGTAGGTTTTGAACTGCCAACCTTGTGGGTAGCAGTCCAGCGCTTATCCTATAGTGCCACTAGGGCTTTTGGATAGAAACTTGGCCAGTTTCGGGTCCCACTGGCCAAGAAAGTTGAAACCCACAGTTCACTGCTTCAGTTGGGCAGGAATGTGCCCACCTCCTGCTCGGGCAGGAAAGCCACTTGGTGGCTGGATTGGTGGGGAGCTCATGTGACCCAGGCACCTGACTTCTTGATCCTCAGTTTCCCCATCTGGGAAGGGGATTTTTTGGAGCCTCTCATGTGGTGTTCTGGGAGCAGACACCTCTGTGCACAGTGACTGGGAGCAGACACCTCTGTGCACAGCAGCAGTCGGTGATCGCTGCTCTGTTCCTGAAAGGAAAGTGGGTACCGGACCCTCACAAGGAGCGTGTGCGCCAGCGGGCTCTTGGGTTAGCTGCCAGGGATGGGGCCCAGCGGGGGACGTGTACGTGTCGGCAGACCCTCACCTGGCTCTTCTCTTTTGCTGCCACACAGGTATAGCCCCAAGAGTGCCGCTCTGCAGTCGGAGACTGTCCACTACAAAAGAGGGGTGGGCCAGCAGTTCTCCCTGCCCTCCTTCAAGATTGACTTCTCTGAGTGGAAGGATGATGAGGTAACGCCCTGGATGAGCCCCTGTGGCTCCAATCCCCTCCCCTTTGAGGCAGGGTAGGCACCGAGGGGCCATGGGGGCCGCTCCTTGAGGGGTGGCGCAGCACAGAAATGCATGCCCACCAGGGCTCAGGTCCTGACCACCGAGGTCACTCGGTGCCGCGTGAGGGAGGGGCCCCAGGGCTGCGCTTGGCAGGACCTCAGGACCTGTGAAGGTGGGCTGTCAGCTTCACAGCCGGGTCATCAGATACCTGAAGGACACGTGGTCCAGCTTTGTTAATGTTGTTGTTGTTGTGAAGTGCCGTCGAGTCGGTTCCGACCCATAGCGACCCTGTACAGGGTTTCCAGGGGTGTAAATCTTTACGGGAATAGAAAGCCTCATCTTTCTCCCGCGGAGCGGCTGGTAGTTTCGAACTGCTGACCTTAAGGTTCGCAGCCCGATTCGTAACCACTACGCTACCAGAGCTTGGAAACAACCTAAGTGCCTACCGCAAAGGGATTGCTTATTAGTTCATTTATATTACGGGCACCGTACACGTATGTCATTTATAGGGTCTCTTTGTAGTCCTGGTGTGGCGCTGCAGGGTAATGCACTGGACTGGAAGGTCGGTTTGAACCGCAAGGTCAGCAGTTCAAACTCACCAGCCTCTCCTTAGAATTCCTGCCCAGGGTCTCTATGAGTTGGAACCCACTCAACGGCACTTAACAACAACAACAGGAGTCAGAGTCAGCTCAACGGCAGTAGGTCTGTTGTATACACAGGGGCCCCTGAGTGGAACAAAGTGGTTATAAAACACTCAGCTGCTCAGGGAAAGGTTGGAGGGTCAGGTCTCCCCAGAGGTACCGTGGAAGTAAAGTGATCATTTCTAGAAATGTAGCCCTTGAAGCCCCTGTGGGACACAGTCCTGCTCTGACACCCTTAGGGTCCCCATGAGCTGGACTCAGTTTGACATCAGCTTGTCATTCATTTTGTATTTTGTGATGTCATGCAGCCTCAGAGCTCATGAAGGAGAACTGTCACTATGGACGCGTGTCGTGTAGAAAGCCCCCCTGGTCCCAGTGCCAGTGCCGCTCTACCCTGAACTTGGTTTAGATTTTTAGAAATTTATTGGGATAGATATTTTGTAGTTTCATTTAGCTTATTGTTCACAATAGACACAGCAAAACATAAACCAGTTCAGGTTGATTTTTTTGGTTTGGTTGAGAATTAAGTGTTTGCTTTCTCTGGAAACAAACAGCACACCTGGCTGCCTGCCTTCTCTGACCAGATGCTGAGCGGTTGGGAGGTGGGCCGGCTCTGCTGGGGGGTTGTTGTTGTTGTTAAGCGCAGTCAAGTTGGTGCTGACTCATAGTGACCATGTATCAGGTTTCCGAGGAGCCGCTGGTGGGTTTGAACCGCCGACCTTGTGGTTCTCAATCTGGAGTCCTGGTGGGGAGTTAGTGTTGTCACTCAGTGAGTTTGGAGTTTTCCTTGTGGTCATGAGTGACGCGGACGATGCTGGAGCTGAGTGAGTGTGTGCCGGGGGTCCTGAGTGGGAGTGCTCAGCAGCGCGCTGGGAGCGTGAGGCCCCTTCAGGAAGGAGGTGGTGGTTGTGTGTGGTGTGGTCTATTCCAACGCCTAGTGTCCTTCTAGGACACAGCAGAACTAACTATCCATAGGGCTTCCTAAGCTGTCACTTTTGTGGGACTAGATCGCCATGTGTTTTCTCCCACAGAGCAGCTAGTAGGTTGGGACCCCCAAACTTTCGCTTAGCAGCCAAGTGCTTGAGCACTGTGCCACCAGGCCTCCTTCCAGAAGGAGGAGTTTGTGCAGTGGCCTGATGAAGTTGGAGCCCATGGCCAGGCCTTGTGGGCTGTGGGAGGAAGTGGCCTTTAGTGTGGGAGCCCTGCAGGGTGGTAGAGGAAGGGTTTCTCCAGAGCCCCCTCCCCTTTGCTCCATCCCTGGGGTGGGGGGATCCAAGCTGGGTGCCCCTCCCCCGATGGGCTCATCCCCGCCGAGGTCCTGACCATCCTTATGTCCTTCCTTCTTCAGCTGAACTTTGATCTGGACCGGGGCGTGTTTCCAGTGGTCGTCCAGGCAGTGGTGGACGAAGGGGACGGTGAGCAGCGTTGACTCCTCCCTCTCCCATCTCCTGAGACTGCTGCTTTCCACATTGTGGGTCTGTGGGAAGACCCCACCCACCTGACCAGAGTGGGAACTGCAGGCTCTGCCCACAGGGCAGGTGTGGGCCCAGGGCCTGCAGGCAGTGGATGTTTCTGTCCCCCTCTGTTCCATGATCTGGAAACCCCCACCCTTGTTGGGGACTACAGATTGATTGATGGGTGGGTGTTCCGGCTGGATCAATGCAGTTATAACCTTCAGAGACCACCTGTGTCCTGGGCTCCCATGTGCCTGAGAATACGCCCTAGTCAGGTGAGAGACAGGGAGGGCAGGACTGGCCAGCAGTGTCTCTGCCCACTGGCTGATTGGCCATGTGGCTTTTGCCCCTGCCTTCAGCCTGGGCAGTGGACTGAGGCTCCCCAGGCTAAGGCTGAGGCTGCTGAGGCCCCCCATGATTCTCAGGCCAGCTGGGCCCATCCTCGGCCTTCTTGTCCCTGGCTGCCAGCTGGCTATATTCCTGTCAGCAGGTTGGGACTGCCGTGCGGGCGGAGGAGCCGGGGCACAGACTGCAGGCTGGCCTGCTGGGTCCACGCAGGTGCGAAACCGCGCCATGCTGGGTGGAACAGAGACAGTTGAGTAGGTTGAATAGGTTGTTGCCCTTCTGACAACTGAGCCCCTCCCCCTCTCTCCTGAAGTTGTGGAGGTGACTGGCCACGCCCACGTTCTCCTGGCTGCCTTTGAAAAGGTATGTGCCATGTAGCCCACCTGCCCCTTGGGGAACTTGGGGGAAGGCTGGGGGAAGTGGGTGGACACCAGAGGCCAGGTCCTGGAGGCCAGGAGGAGGTTCTAGATTGAGGCCAGCCCGTGGGAGCTCTGTCATCCTACCAACTGGGGCAGGGACCCTGACATGAGGTCTCCCAGCCCTGGATCCACTTGCCACAGGACGGACGCACAGAGAGCCAAGGCTACTGCGTTCCCTGTTGTTTTCCATGTCACTTTGTCCCCTCTGCCTGGTTTCCTCACCCTCTCCTGCGGGGGTTGGGGGCTGGGCAGAGCCTGGCACCCTCCCCCATCATTCCCTGGGGTTTGGTCCATGGTGGATGCTTGAGGAACTCCAGAGGATGGGGGACGAGCATCTATGTCATTGCAGTCCCCAGACTGTGGACAGGGACAGGCAGGAGATGGGGGGAGGCTTTCCAGTCCTCCCTGATCATCCCAGGCTGGGGATGGCTGCCCAGAAGATGAGCTGTTGATGGGGAGGGACCTCTGGAAACATGCCCTGATTTCCAACCTGACCCGCTGTCCCCAGGCTTCGAGCTGTTTGTGTTTTGTTGGATGTGTTTAGTGTTTTTGTTGGGGTTAGGGAAGTGTGTGTGTGTGTGGTGTGTATATGTACGTGTGTGCGTGTGTGTGTGTGTGTGTGGTGGCTATGGGAATACTGAGGGAATCCTGTGTTCTAGGGACAGTCAGACCCAGTGGTCACTGGTGGTTCCTGGGTGGTGGTGTGTCCATCCCTGTAGCCAGTAAGTGCGGAGGGTCTCAGCTCATGGGGACACTTGTCCCTGGGCAGCAGGGTGCACTTCCTGATACCATGGCTGACACCCCTTCCCCACACTGGCAGTGTTTTCAGCATTGGGCTGGATGGAGCTGGAGACTCAGAATGTTCTGGGTTTTTCCTGCTGACACTCAGCTCCCCCGCATCAGGTACAAGGCTCCTTCCTGTGACCAAGTCTTTCTGAACACAGGAGAGGGGACACAGCAGGCTACAGCTCCTCTGGCCTGCCTGTCTGGCCACCTGCTGAGGTATCCATCCAGCTGGTTCAGTACTGGCTCACTGCTGAGCCGGCCTTGCCTGCAGGGCTGGTCGCTGCTGGCCCTGCCGTCCCATGGTCAATGTGCCTTCTGTGTGTTGAGCCTGGGAGAAGCCCCTCGGTGGTGTAATCTAACAGGCTGGAAACTTGGTCTGATCCCCTTGGTTTGTCCAGATGCTCCTACCTGCTGGCGTGGCAGACCCAGTGGGCCTGCTCCGAGCTCAGACCTTGCATAACCTATGGAAGGCCAAGCTGGGATTTTCTCAGATGCCGCCCAATGAGGCTTGCTGCCGGGCATTTGTTCTTTCTTTCCTTAGAGCTTTGAACTTTACCACTGGTGTAATTTTGGTCGTAAGTTTTGCAACCAGGGACTCTGTATTGTGGGGGAAGGTCTTGTCCTCCCTGGAATATTGGCTGGGTTCTGTGGGGTGGGCCCGGACATTGTCTTCAGGTGCTCAGGTAGCTGTGACCCAGATGTGGCATAGTGTTCTGAGAAGCCTTGCTCTGGCCCTTTGGTCTTCACAGGGCCTTTCCTGTGGCCAGCTGTGGGCGCAGAGTGGTCAAGGAAGGGCCGTCCAGCTGCCTTGAGGGTCTCATCCTTTATTCCACTCAGACATGGAGTCCCCAGACCACCCTGTTTTGTGGGGCATGTTTATGCTGTGGATAAGGAAGTGTGTCTGTGTCTTTGTTTCTGTCTGTGTGTATGTGAGTCTCTGTGTGTTTGTCTGTGTGTCTGTGTGTCCAGCTAGGGGTGCTGAGCGGCCCCACTACCTTAGCCTCCGTTTCTTCTCCCGGCAGCATGTGGATGGCAGCTTCTCCGTGAAACCTCTAAAGCAGAAGCAAATCGTAAGTTTCCCTCACTGTCTTATGAACCCTCTGTGTTAAAAAAACGCTTTTGCACGTAGGGTGTGGGTGCTGATCCTCTGTGGAGCTTGACTCAGGCCCTCTGGTGAATAGTCTTCGTGGGCCCCCGCCCTATGTCTGGTGACAGTGCTTTGGTGGGCTGGGCAGATAGCGGGTGTCCCTGCATCCTCATCTGGCCTCACTGGCCAGCTCCTGGGGCTAGGGCTGGGTCAGGTGGGGTCAGAGCCCAAGAGAGCTATGCCTCTGCCCTCCAGGTGGACCGAGTCAGTTACCTGCTACAGGAGATCTACGGCATTGAGAATAAGAACAACCAGGAGACAAAGGTAGGGCCTGGGGAGCGGTCCAGTCAGCCAGCCCCGACCCAGGCTCCTTCCTGGGCTTCTCCCCAGACTCCATTCTTTTCCTTACTTTGATTTCTTTGTTTTACTTCTGGTGAAAATACACACAGCAGTTCAGCTGCGTCTACATGTACAATTCAGTGACACCAAGGACATTTCTTGCCTTCTGCAACCATTCTCGTCCTCCTCCTGAGCACTTCCTCCCCCGTGAACATCAAATCACGGCCTGATGTTCTCATTTAACCTTTCTTAGATGTGTGTGTGTGTGAAGTTAACATAGAACATTCTTTTCTTTTTTGTGAAGTTAACGCATTATAGAACATTCTGTCCTCCTTTAAACAAGTTCACTGGCTTGTTGTATCATCCTGTCTCTGAGCATCGCGTGTAGGGGTCTGTCCATGACTGGATCAGTGCTGCCCTCTACTGGTCACCCCAAGTCAGCACCACATGCACACACACCCTCCTTCTTTGTCCCTCTTTATCTCTCTCTCTAGTGGAGTGATGCAAATTCTAGATGTTGTCGAAGCACTGGTCACTGACACAATAAAGTGTGACTAAATACGCGCTGTCAAGTTCAAGTCCTGGTCTAGCAGGGGTGGGAAAGGGTAGCCGGCCTTCCCAAATACTCTTCGAAGGCACACTGCGTGAACGAAACTGCTGCCTACTTCATAATATTTCCTTAGCAGCCTGGTCACCCAGCTTTACTCAGGATGGCCAGGCCACCAAAGGCTGGGGTTAGTCCCAGATGAATCGCCCCTGCTCTCTTCAGAGGAAATAGACCGGGGGTTGGTGGACTTTCTTTAAAGGGCCAGGCAGTAAATATTTTTGGCTTTGTAAGCCATGTGGTCTTGTGTCACTTACTGCTATTAATGTTGCCCCAGAGAAATTGCTGACAGTATGTAACTTCATTGGCATAACTGTGTGTGTGAATAAAACTTTGTTGACAAATTTAGGTGGAGGACCAGCATTGTTGATTCCTGTTTTAGGGCTGCCATCACCTAATGAAGATAATTTTCATACGTGTTAAATTTGATTGATATGTTTAACAAAATACACGGGTACCCTCTGCTCACACTGAAGGTGTGGGCTTGATCCTCACAGCTCTCCATGTTGCTCTTCAGTTCTGAAGCGAATCGGAGGGGGGGGGCCTTCGTCCGCCTGCCCGAGTGTGTGTGTGTGTGTGTGTGTGTGTGTGTGTGTATGTGTGTGTATGTGTGGGTAGATGGGGAGTGTCACAGACTCCCTGCCCTGCTGTGTCCTGGGCAGGACTTGGGCCTGGTGTCCACTGAGCATTTCTCTTGGCTGCATGTCTCTGTCTCTGGAACCTTGTCTGAGTCACAACCCCATGCCATGCCATTTGCAGACTTGGGAGGGACACCATTGGCAAGATACGGCACGAGGATCAGAACTCCCACTTGGAGCAGCAGCTTCGGGCTCCATGGGGCTTGATTTAGTCAGAATTCAAACCAGAGTCTGGGGGAGCTGGGGCCCCCGGATGTTGTTGAGCCACTTGCAAACCTTCCTGGACTCTTTCTCTAGAGCAGGGCCTCAACTCACTGTGAAAACCCAAAGCCTGTTTGTTAGAACCTTCCCCGTCTGGTATTTCTATTGTAGCGGAACTAGGGGACTAAGTCGATTAGTTTTCGTTTATTTTTATATAAAAAGGGGCTTTTGAAATATGTTCTTATACAGATCTTATCAAACATCAAAAATAAGAAAAACATAAAAACATAACAAACCACTGCGGTCTGGTTAGTGTGGGAGGGAGGGCTGGTGTAAACCAGTGTGATGGCTTTCTGTCCTGAAGCCTAGACAGCCCTGATGAGGCCATGCCCTTGGAATTTTCCAGAAGGTGAGGTAACTGTGCAGGTGGCAGCGAGTAACACTGTGGGGACTCTGTGCTGAGTGAGCATTTTGTGTGTAAGGACAGATGCTCAGCATCCGCACCATTTACAATGGGAGACTGGGGCTCGAGGCATGCGCTCCACCCACACTGCACAAGTGAGCAGCACCCCAGGGCCTGTGCTGTCCACTCTCCTCCCTGGGAAGGGTGGGGTGGTCCACATGTCACAGGATCCCAAGCTTGGGACAGACAGGGCCTGTAGGGGCAGCGTGGGGGCTCCAGCGTGGGGGCCCTGACCCCTGGACATCTGGCCCTCGTGACACCGACTCACAGGCCCTTGTCCCTTCAGCCCTCAGATGACGAGAACAGTGACAACAGCAATGAGTGTGTGGTGTGCCTGTCAGACCTACGGGACACACTGATCCTGCCCTGCCGCCACCTCTGCCTCTGTAACTCCTGTGCTGACACCCTGCGTTACCAGGCCAACAACTGCCCCATCTGCCGTCTGCGTGAGTACAGCCTCGTGCCTGGGGAGCCGCACGCCTTTATGGGCTCAGGGTGAAGGGGGCACGTGCTGCTGAACACAGCACAAGGGCCACAGTGCCCACAACGGCATGCACGTGGGATGATCTGAGTCCAGGAATGTCATACTTGGTAGAAATGATGGTCACAAGAGAATATGCCTACCGTGCTGGGAAATTCAAACAGGACAAAAGTTGGTCTTTTTTTTAAAGGTTAGCTGGAAATGAATTTATTTACAAAGGGCCTTCACAGAGTTTGTGGGAAACCAGAATAGAAAGTTAATGAAATTTTTCCCACAAACTTTTTGAAGTCCCCTTATGTTTTTGTGTTGAGAATATATACAGCATGACATAAAACCAATTCAATCATTTCCCCAATTCAGCAACATTTATGATGTTCAAGTTGTCCAACCATTCCCACCCTCCTCTGAACTGCCCCTCCCCTGTGACGAGAACTCACTGCCCCCTGATTTTCCTACCTGAACTTTTGAGTTATGGTTGCCCATTTTATCCCATATAAATAGATCTTAAAGGAGCACCTTGCTCAGGGCAGACATTTGTTAGAAGTGAAGCTAAGCTGTGGTTTGCCTTAACAAAGACTTCTGGTGTATTTTTGATTTAAGGTTTGAGTATTTCAATAGGGCCATAGTGTCAAAGCTTTATCCAGCCTCAATGAGTCCAGAAAGTCTGGAGTCCATGAGAATTTGAATTTCTGTAGAAATGAATTTATTTAGATAAAAATTATTGAACACATGAGAGCAGAAAAAATGTGCTGGAGATAAAATTGATCTAGGAATTCAGTTTGGTATGTAGAACCTTCCAGAAATTGTCTCCATGAGAAGTCTTCAAGTTGGGCAGAATTCTGAACACAGTAATTGTCCTCAGATACAGGGAGTCAAACATTCTCAGCTCTGTGGTCCTGAGCCCTCTAAATATGTTCTGCATCTGTGGTGTTGGGGGCTTAACCTGTGGGGGCTGCACGGTGTCTGTCTCACCTTGGAAGCATCATTAAGTAAATGATTGGTTTAGAAATAAAAACTGCCCTTAATGTTCTTCACCCATCTGGTGTGCAGGCCCGCATCCCCAGGGCAGCTTGGGAAAGATGCTGGTGCTTCAGCCAAACTTGTAAGCCGGCCTCAGGTCTGCATGAGCAGGACCGTGCTGACGGCCTGAGCCGAGTTGTCGTGCCTGGCTTGGCGCTGTTTATGGGGCTCAGAGAGGGATTTGTTCAAAGTCATGCAGCTTGACAGGAGCGGGGATGGTTTGGAACTGGACCTGGAACCCATGCACCGGAAGCAAACACACTGACTTGTCATGTGACTGCCCCTCTGCTTCCCCATGAAGCAGGTGGGCTATGGGAAGGGAGTGTGCACAGTGGCAGTTCTCCAGGGACTGTGGGGCAGGCTGGGCGTGTAAATGTGGCATCTGAGCCGCTATCGTCTAGGGGCTCTGGGGCCCAGGAGGACTTGCACGGCTCAGTGTGCTGGGCCCTAGCAGGGTAGCAGGCAGTGTGGCCTACAGGGTTGGGTGTCAGGACCTGGAGGATCAGGGACTCGGCCTGAGTATACGACGTGAGGGGTCTCTGTTTTGGAGAGCCGGGTCTGACAGATGTTGGCCCCTGCTCCTCACTCCGTCAGTGCTAGGCTTCCATCTCCCTGCCTTGGGCCATCTTGTGAAGACTTTGTTTACCGGTGACCTGGAAGCCTGGCTTGGCCTAGGTCGCTGCTGCAGGCAGTTGGTATCCCCAGAGCTTGACGCCTCCGTGGGTCTGGCATGGTGGCCACCTGCCTGGTATGAGCCTCCTCCCCCACTTCTGCTGCAGCTTTCCGGGCCCTTCTACAGATCCGGGCCGTGCGGAAGAAGCCTGGGGCACTGTCTCCTGTGTCCTTTAGCCCCGTCCTGGCCCAGAGCGTGGACCATGATGAGCACTCAGTAAGTACCCTTTTCCTGCCTGCGGGGCCGTGGCTGGGGGGGGCAGCACTGTGAGGCCAGGAACCAGCCTGGGGCCTTCTGTCCTGTGGGCTCACTTGCCACCAGGGGACCTGAGATGGTGGTGACCCCCTGGCATGAGAAGGAGCTGACGGGAGCCCTGCCTGTGAAGTGTCCCCTAGTGGCAGCTTCCTTCTCTAACCGCCACCTCTAGGCATGGTGGACCATGGGGTGGGGGTGGGGAAGCTTAGAAAACATAGACACCCTGACTGCTTTTCCTCTTCCGGCAACTAGGAGCCAGAGTTTAAGTTCAGGGACCTTAAGAGAGACAGAGTAGAAAGGGGGAGACTGAGAATTGAGAAGATGAGAGAACTGGAGAGACACGGGAGGTGGGGGATGGGGAGCTGGTTAGAATGGGGGAGACGAGGATGGAGCAAAGAAGGACAGCTGTGTCCCACTTACTGTGTGTGCGGTCAGTGTGCACGTGTGTGGTCAGTGTATGTGCTGTCAGTGTGCACGTGTGTGATCAGTGTGTGTGTCTGGTCAGTGTGCATGTCATCTTCCTGGAACTCATACGAGATGGCTTGGTTAAGACCCTCCCAGCTCTCACAGGAAGACACAGCCCTCTGGGGGGGGAGGGTGTGACCCCCCCGCCCCCAGACCGAGCTGACATTTCTTCCTCACATCTGTGCACTCTGGAGCTGGGGCCATGCTGCCCTCAGGGATGAGGTTTGCTCAGGGCACGGTGTTTGTTGAAAGTCTGTAGGTCCCCTTCAGACCCCAACATCTGGCTTCTCTTTCAAACCCTGAATGTGTGGCCTTGCAGCTAGAGAGAGGCGCAGAGACCCTTGGGGTGCGGGGCTCATGCCCTGCAGGCTCTTGTGTGCTTACTTGGGTACTTTGTCTGACAACATGGGAACAATCAGCCAGGATGCTTGGCCCAGGAAAGAGGGCCCAGGGCCACCAGGAAAGGAGCACATGGTGGGAGGTGGCCACTGCCACCCTTTTTCCTCCTGGGTTCTGGGGCCGGCAGCCAGTCCCATGATTCTCCAGGCCCAGGACCCATCTCTCCAGAACTCCATGAGGCACCAAGTGGGCTGATATTCTACCTCATCTTGATGGGTTGCTGACACTCAGCAGAGCCTAATCATTATGTTGGTTGAGACTGAAGTACCTCCGTGTACCCCCAGTGCAGGAGCCTGGTTCAGACCGTGGGTGGTGGGTGTGAGGCTCACCCGATCTTGGTCAGACCCTGCATCTAACAAGGTCCTTGTGGTCCGATTGCACCTTCACTCAGGGGCCCCATCTCACCTCTCTTGGGCCAAGTGGGGTGCAGTCATGTAAAACGTGTAATTTTTATCTCGACAGTGTCCCTTTAAAAAATCAAAGTCGCACCCTGCCTCACTGGCCAGCAAGAAACCCAAAAGGGAAACAGTAAGTGTGCTTGGTCCTCATGGCTCTCATTTTCACAAAGGACACAGACAGGATGGCACACTGGCCCCGCGCTCACGGGTCTGGTTCAGCAAACCAGTCCTGGCACCACACCCCCCCGCCCCCGAAGGGAGTTTTGAGGGACAAGCAAAGCTCGCTCCAGCTCTCAGGCCTGTGTGCCACCTCTTCCCAGCAGCTTTGCTCCCCCCGTGGTCTCCCCAAACAGCCTCGTTTCCCTTTTTTTCTTGCTGGCAGTGGAATGAAAGTTGAAGGTGGAACTAACGTTGCAAACGGTGCCTCTCACGCATGCTGTGTGCTCTCCCTGCGCTACGCCTGAGAACTTTGGTTTTCCTGGTTTTCCATGTGTCAGGGAGCAGGCCCAGGGGACCCAGAAATGGGGGTTCCCACTGGCCCAGGCAGACCTGACTCCACCATGCATTCCCCGAGCATCTTAGAGAGGAGTTGGCCTCTACTTATATCTTCTCCCTTTTTGTAGAGGTGTGGGAGCCCAGTGTGGTGTGGATGCACGTCCGGTGGGTGCACTCTCAGCCTGGCCCGATTCAGGCCTGATAAAAGTAGCCCAGGTGACAGGCATCTGGGAGCTGCCGGCCCCTGGGGTCCCTGGGGTCTCTGGGATCTCTGGAGCCCCTCGTGTCCTCTGTCACGTGGGTGGAGCTGCCTACCTGGTGCCTCTGCCTTGTCTTGTGAGCATGTTGGTGGGCACTGTGGCCCGGCTCACCTTCCCCACTACCACGCCTGGGGGACCAGGAAGTGGGACCTCCGAGGGGCACTCACCCCCAGAAAAAGTCACTCCTATCCAAGTGAGGGGTAAAAACAGTGACTCTAAGCTGAGGGTGCTCACTAGAATTGCCTGGAGCAGCCATCACCCCAACAGATGACCTCCCAGACCCAAAAAGGGGTTCTCACGTCCAGCCTGTGCCAGGCTCACCTGGGTGGCCGGGGACCCAGTACCCTTGACTGGTCTCTCTCCTTGGCATGGCTTTGCGCTCCATCCTGTCTCCTGGTTTCCCTTGCTGTCACTAACCTCCCTACACTGCCCAGGCACAGGGGCAGCTCCAGCCAGATGCCTGCCTTGCCTTCCACCCTGACCACCAATCCACTGGGGGCATGTGGGTGTCTGGGGCACCCTCCATGCCCACAACCTCCCATGGCCCCATCTGTGTCCTCCTCTGAGGCCGGGGCGGGGGCTGCCTCTCTACCTCACTGGCTGGAGTTTGTGTCTTTGTTCTGTGCCAAGTTCACTGCTGGCTGCCGGTTGCAGCAAGAGAGAACCAGGGAGTTTTTTTTTCAGAGCAGCCCAGGAGTTGGGAGCTTACCTCCGCAGTAGGCAGAGCAGAAAGTGTGCCTGGGGAATAGACCATCCCTGGGGCTGCAAGCCCAGCCTGCATCTCGGGCTCTGGGCCCCTAGACAGTGGGCAAGGGAGCCTGCCTAGCCAGCTCTCTTCACCTGGCTTGTCTCCGCAGAGTCCTGACAGCGTCCCGCCAGGCTATGAGCCCATCTCACTGCTGGAGGCACTCAACGGCCTACGAGCTGCCTCCCCTGCCATCCCTTCCGCACCTCTGTACGAGGAGATCACCTACTCAGGGGTCTCGGACGGCCTGTCGCAGGCTAGCTGTCCACTCGCTGGCGTTGAGCAGATCCTGGACAGTGGCCACCACAAGGGCAAAGCACGGAGCAGGTCTCCAGACAGGTAAGTCGGTTCTGCTAGGCCTCAGAGAGGGGGTGATGTTCCGATCCGGTTGGTCATGACGTGTTTCGTCCACTGAGTCACCAGGATTTAGGAGTTTCAGTCGTGCTGACACTCGTAGAATTGTCACCTTCCATGTGCGAGACCCAGGTTGGATTCTCAGCCAGTACACCTGTCTTCAGTGGAGGCCCGTGTGTCACTAGTGTGCTGAACAGGCTTCAGCAGCACTGAACAAGATGAGTTGGAAAGAAGGCTTGGCTACCTACTTCCAAAATTCAGCCTGTGGAAAGGAAACCCTATGTGTCCTTAGTCCGTCCTCTATCATCAAGCGATAGTGCATGACTGGGCAGTGTTTCATTATGTGCGTGGGGTCGCCATGAGTTGAGGGCTGACTTGACTGCAGTTAACTAAGACAAAGTTGGTTACAACAAAACTTAGGGAGCAAAAGCAAGATGTTTGGGGAATCCAGAGAGCCTTCCGCTGTCCCTCCTCATCCCAGGCCACACAGGCCTATCTTGAGCCCCAACCTGCAGGGGCAGTGTGGAATGCCCAAGAACTTTATGTGAAACCCTGTGACCGGCCACCACAACCAAAGTCCATGCATTTCCTACAGAGCCGCCTGGACATGCCAGAGAGCCACCGATGGCCACAGGGCTATGGTGGCCAGGGGTCTTCAGCACCCCCTTGGAGACATGCATGGAGTGAGAAAGCTGTATTAGCTCAGTCTTCACACATGCATTCGGCTCTTAAATAGGAGAGGACAGCCATACCTCAGATTTCAGGTTCCGTCCCAGACCACTGCCGTAAAGCCTGTCACATGAAAGGCAGTCACATGCATTTTGGGGTTTCCCAGCACACAGAAGCTATGCTTACACACCACCACAGTGTCTGAAGTGCATGATAGAATGATGGAAAAGTTTGAAATATTTCCAGAATGACCAGCTCGGGACACTGTGAGAGACTGGACGTGAGCACAGGCTGTTGATAAAATAGTGCAGCACAGGCTGTTGATAAAATAGTGCCAGTGGGCTTGCCTTGGGGGCACAGTGGCCACAAACCTTCAATTAAAAAATGCAGTATCTGAAGCCCAGTAAAGCAGAGTGCTAGGAAACGAAGCCAGGTTCCATGTGACTCACACGTGCAGCAAAGTGTCAGGGATCCAGAAGAGATGGGGAATCTTTCTCCTGATGCTGCCTGCCCCTGTCCTACCGCCAGTGGTTTCTTGTCTCCTCTTAGGAAACACAAGTTTTCTGTACGTGTCCCCTGATGGTGTACATTTGGGCTGACGTCCTGTGACTACCCTGATCTAGATCTGGACATGAGGGAGTGGCCAGTCCCAGTGGGGTATCACAATCTAGCGTTCATGTCCCATTTCCTCAGTTCTAGGGGTGGGGAACATCCAGCCTTGGGGCCTTATAAGGCTGAGGAGTCATTGGTTTTGCAAAGGCAGCTGCACTTGCAGCTGTCATGTCGTTGTTGAGTACCGTCAAATCTGTCCCGACTCATGGTGACCCTGTATAGGGTTTCCAAGGGGCAGCTGGTGGGTTTGAACTGCCAACCTTGCAGCTCAAACCGACCTTGTCTAGTGCATTATCTTGCAGCACCATGAGGCATCATGATGTTGTTGTTGTTAAGTGCCGTTGAGTCACTTCTGACCCATAGTGACTCTGTATAGGGTTTCCGAGGAGCAGTTGGTGGGTTTGAACGACCGACTTTGCAGTTCAAACTGACCCTGCAGTCGTGTGCTTATCCTACAGCGCCACACCAGGACCACTAATTAATTGTTTGACCAAATATGGCAGACGAATTTTTAAATGGATAATTTTGTATTGCCCGCAAATGATGCATAACAAAGGCTCCCACCCCTGCTCTATACCCACCCTCACTTTTGGTCCCTCTGCCCCCAGCACCCTACGGTCCCCATCATCCCCCATTCATGAAGAAGATGAAGAGAAACTCTCTGAGGACTCAGACGCTCTTCCCCCACTGAGTGGCGTGGAACTGGCAGTGCGTGAGAGTAGCACCCCCGAGGTGAGACCCTGCATCCTTCCCAGGGAAACCCGTCCCCACTTGCCCTGCACACCAGCTTGGGGCCTCGGTCTATCCTCTCTCCCCCCAGTGCCCCCGAGGTTGACTGTACCCCTCCTGGGCACGTCTTTGTTCCCTAGAGTTTCATCATGGAAGAGGTGGACGAGGTATCAGCATCTGTAAAGCAAGGTGAGCCCTCATTCCTGCCCACTCAGGCATCCGCTGCCTCCTCTATGCCCACCCCAAGGCCGCCTCCAGGCCGAATCTGTAGCTTGCATTGTGCTTCATGCCTGGTCATCTCTGCGCACAACCTCACATTCAGAGCATGCTTCCTTCTGTCCTGGCCTTTACACCAGGAGCCTGGCCTATTGGGATGGGTGCAAAGCTGGCCTGTACTTGCTTACCTGGGACGATAGACAAACAATGATATTTTAAAACTTGGGCCTGGCTTGCTCCCGTAAACTAAATAAAACGAAAGGCTGGAGGTCAGGAAGAGAAGCAGCAGAAAGGGAAGGAAACCAGTTGCCTCTGGACTCCTATGAGGCTGGGTGGGGTGTTCTCAGGCGGAGGGATGGTAGGCTCCTGGTTGCTTGGTCCTGACCTTACCCTCCCCACCCCAGGGAGCCAGGCTGCATCCACTGAGAATGCCCTGCAGGACAGCAGCCCTGAGCACCGAGGCCTTGGCCCACCCGCTGACATCTACCTGCCAGGTATGGTGCTCTGTCCATGGTGTTGAGGGCGCCTGCCCAGCCACAGTCCTGGCTCCGGGCCTCCTAGCCCCCCCCCCCCCCATCTCGATACCTGTGTGCCATCCAACTCAGCAGCCAGGCCAGGGCAGGCTTTACCAGCTACCTTTCTTACCTTCCCATTTCCAGCCAGGTGGGCTACAGACCGAAAACTGGAAGCCGCGAGTATGTTGCCTCTTGCCCTGTGGGGGACCCCTGGGCCACCCACCTGCCCCAGAGGCCAGCTGGCTTCTGTGGTGCCCTGGGGAAGTCAGACCTCAGAGAACAGGCTGTGCATCCTGGTGCCTGAGGCCAGGGACCGTGGGACAGGCCTTAGTTTGTCTCTCCCCATTCCAAAGGTTCGGCCAGGCCCATTGCTTAGCCCCTTTTCCTCTGCCCTCGAAGGCTCAGCACTTCACACCCTGGGCTTCCAGGGAGGGTCAGGGAATGGGAGTGGAGCTGGGGCCCTGGACATGGAGAAGGTGCTGGAATCCAAAGGTAGGGCCCCCGAAACAGCTGTTGGCTGAGTGTGGCACTTCCGTTCTTAGCTCCAGACCCCCCACTGCCTGGTACCAGTCTGATCCCCTGGCCCACCCTAAACAGCAGCCTATGGTGATGGTGGGGTCTTGAGGTGTGAAAAAGTGGGATGGGTTTTGATTGGTGCAGAAGAGCTGTCCCTGATACAAGCCCACCTGCGCTGGTGTTCCGGAAGTTCTCTCAGAGGCGTGGGTGCATAGAAGGAAGGCCTGGCTCTGCCTCAAGGGAGGGTTTGCTGAGCATGGGACGTCCACGGTAGGACAGGGAGGCCAGACTGGAGGATCTCGTGCCCAGCTCCAGGCAGAGTAGTGGAGGAGCCATAAGTGAGTCAGAGCCACCAGGGGGCTGGTTCCCAGTGTGACACCCCACTCTGTTCCCCGTCTCCTCTCTGACCTTAACTCCTCGGAGTGAACTCAGGGCTCGGATTCTGCTGCTCCAGATAGGTCCTCGGGGCCTCAGGACGCTTCCAGCAACTGTGACTTATGCTGGTTTACCTGATCCTTGTAAAGCGCAAGGACACATGCGTGTGGGAGACCCTTGCTTGAGGCTGCCATTGTCCTCAGGGTGCTCCACACTCTCTCCCCTGGGTGGATGTTCTCATGGGTCCAGGAGACCCCACATGACTAGCAGGAGCTCAGTGAATATGCGTGAGCAGGGCCTTTGTGCCCAATCATGAATCTGCAGATTCATAGGGTCCCTTCCCTGGCCTGCACTTGTGGACAGTGTTTAAGCTGAGTCTGATCGTTTTAGAAAGACCAAGGGACTCTTCACAGACGAGACCCACAGCCAAGCGTGGCTCCAGGGTGTGAGCCAGATGATGGGGAGTTCCCAGTGCCCCCGGCTGCCCTCCCCTCTGCACTGGGGCTAACAGTTGTCTGAAGCCGGGGTGGGGGGCTGGGGGGAGTGCATGGTGCCATCCTGTGTGTGCCCACCCTTGTGCTGTGCGTTACACAAGTGCTCCAGGGACACCTATGCTCTGCTTTCTCCTTTCTCACCTCACAGCTGTCTTTTCAGCACTTGCGAGCGTGCGAGCGTGCGTGCGTGCGTGCGTCCTTCCGCTAACAACTCCCCATGGCCCTCGCTGTTCCTTCTTGGGAGACTATATGTAAAATGGTGAAAGCCCAGGTCCTGCTCCTGTGGGGTGGGGTTGGCCCTCCACCTTTCCACATTGGGGTCAGCCGTCAGAAGGCCCAGCACCAAGCGCTGGACTCTGAATCCACAGCCCTGCATCTCTGGGCCAGCAGACCCCCACCCCCACTTCAGTGGATCTCAGTGTGGACTGAGGGTGTTGTCAGCAGGTGTCAGTGGGCAGGGGGCATCATGTCGCTTCTTGTGCGGCCCTTGTGAGTACTTGGCTAACCGAGAGTCCGTCTGTCTCTCCTCTCTGGCAGCTCTGGGCCCCGACTCCTGCTCTGCTGGTATAGAGGAGTAAGCTGGTACGTGACCCTTTCTCTGCTTTCAGGTGGCTCTGACTGGCATCCCAGCAGGGCAGCGGGAGCAATGGCTTGAGGTTTTTTGGACTTTTCCAATCCACAGTGTCCCCCATGGGCCTAGACTCTGAAGGCAAGCTCTCATGGGCACCTGTCTGTACCTGGTGCAGTTTGGAGTCATTAGTTTTCATCTGGACTGGAGTATCCTAGGCCTGCTGCAGGCAGGGGTCCATGTGACCCCCAGCATCTAGGCCATACCAGGCTCAGGTGCATCTTTGGTGACTGGATGACTGGTTTTGTTTCCACACAAACCTTTTCTCTCCTCCTTGTGAAACTTCTGACCGACCCTGGCTCTCTGGTGAGAAATGAGCCAACTTTTCTGGAAGTTGACCACAGCCTCCACAGCTGTTGGGAGTTGGGATTTGTGTAAAACTTCTGGACAACCAGAAGACAGGCCCAGTTGTAGAGTATAAGTGGTGGGCCGGCTGAGACCTAGCGAGAGACCACCACTCCTCACGAGGTTGGGACTCTGTGTCCCAGGCTGCAGAAATGGTTCTTGGCTTCCTGGTTGAAAGTGATTGTGGTTGGTGCCAAGTGACCGGGTGGGCAGGCAGTAAGTGAGGGCCGCCCACCATTTTGCCACCTAGAGAAGTGTGGTGTGGCCTTGTCCCCTCAAGTCAGATTGTCCGTGTGAGCGTGGCAGGGACAGCAACACCGTATAGCTTTACTAGAGTTGTCTGGGAATAGCCTCCAAGGAAGCCCCACTCCGAGAAGCCTGTTGGAACCCCCAGGCTGCCGAACCTCTGCTGGCCTGGCGTCTTCTGTGTGCAGCTCAGGGAGCCCCACCCAAGGGGGCCCAGTGTTCTGCCCCTCTCCTAGTGTGGGCTGCCCTGTCCTGGGTTCACGGAGGGTGCTCTGCAGGTCAGGTGGCCGAGCCTAACTCTCCTTTGCTTCCCACCCGCAGGATGCTCTGCCTCTCTGGAGACACCCCACAGCCTCAGCACCACTGGTCCCCCCTGGCCTCCTTTGGGTGGCCCCCATCCTGACCTCGGGGCCACTGAGCTGACCCTCCTTTGAGCTGGCCTAGCCAGCAGCTTGGAGCCCTCAGTTCCCCCTGCGCTGCCGAGGTGCCGCCCACCGCCACCATCTGAGTGCTGGAAGACCCTCCATCAAAGAACACAGACATGTCCCCTGACGTCCTCCTCTTTTCTACGGTTGACGCATTTGTAACTGGTACAGATGAAGGCCAGCAGCTTTTTACCTCTGGGCGTCCTGGAGGTGGTATGGCTGGACCTGTGGGAGGGCAGGACTGGGAGGTGGTCCAGGTCTTGGTGGAGCTGGGCCTGCATTTGCATGGCAGTCACTGCTGCTCTGTGCCCTCGGGACAGCCATGGTGCAGGTGGCTGGGTGAGAGCCGCTGCTTTCGGGGGTGACCTGCCAAAGCATCCTGGAAGCCCTAGTCCCCTTGAAGCTCAGACATCTCCCTGGGGACTTCCTGTTAGGTTTACCACCCTGAGGGGGCCTGCTGGGCTGGCCTGCCCCCCTGTGCCATGTGACTAGTCATCTGGGGCTCCTGGAGCCCCACCCTTCTGAGCAGCAGAAAGGCGGGACTTTGAGCCAAGCGGGGGTTTGTGCTGCTCAGGGTTCGAGTGTCCTAGGACACCCCACCCCAGCCTCTCTAAGGCTGGATTGGCCAGACCCTGGCTTTGCATAGCTGGGCACCCGAAAGAAATCCAGTCAGACTCTTTTTCCTTCCTTTGAGCCTAAGGGTGGTGCCCATGCCTGTTCTTGGAAGCTCTGCCTCCCCCAGGCCCCTCCCTCCTGGCTCCTGCTCAGCTCCCCGCCCCCCATGCTCACATACGTGCACACCGTCTCCCTCTTGCTGTTGTGGTTGGGGCTGGCACTGTGAAGGGTGCTGCCCATTTTGCCCATCTTGGACTTCCACGTGCTATCACTTGATGTACTCTGATTGGCTAGTTTTTTGTTGTTTTTACTGTATATTTATAGTAATAAAATCATGCAGCAATAATCTGTGCGAGCCTTCCTATGTGGCCACATGGGGGGTGCCCTCTGCTCCCCACAGTAGGGCAGTGAGTGGTGGTTCTGGCAGTGGACACCCTCATTAGCTGTGGCCTAGGCCAGTTGCTCTACCCTCGTCAGCCTGTTTCCCCAGGTGGGAGGCGGTAGACAGCTGGCTATTCCAGCAGGCATGAGTGTTACCTGAGGTCTCGTGAGGGCACTGCATCTCCTATTGGTTTTTTCTGTCTTCATTGGCACTGCAGTCTTGGGTGGCAGGATGGGGACCCGAGGGCCTGGGCTCAATCTCAAAGACAGGAAGGTACCCAGGGTCTCACGGTGTGTGAGGAGCAACTTGAGTCCTTCTCGATCACATAGACCTGGTCAGTGAAATGTACTGTTTACTATGAAGGGAGTCAAGGGTTGGTGAGGCCAAGGTCACGTGGAACTCCATGCTCTGAGGAAGTAACCGTGAAAACCTGAAGGCGGAGAAGCAGTAGAGCATCTTCAGCAGGGATCCCCTATGCTAGAGCCTTGAGCCTGTGCGCCCTGGGATGGGAACTAAGTGAAAAGCTCCCAGGGCAGGCAGAGATTAGGACAAGCTCCTGGGGTCTTGTGCCAGAAGAGGTGAGGGGACAGGTGTGGCTGCCAGGAGTCAGTTTGCCAAGTCCCTTCAGTGGGACGTCGTAGTTCCCACGCACACCCACCTCAGCACTGTAGGAAGTGGAGCAGATCCCAGATCCTTTCCCTGCACATTGGACCCCTCTGACCCAGTGCGGAGAGTTTGGGCAGAACCCAGGTTTGTATTTATCTGGGGTAGTCAGACTTGGTGTCACATGGTTTGGGGGCTGAATTGAATCCCATTTGGGACCTCCCTACACAGCCCTGCCCTCCACAGGTGCTCCGAGAGTGGGGAGGGATCCTTCCCCTTGCCAGCCTCTCCCATCAGACCCCATCATGTCCCTGGAATCTGGTCTCTTGCAGCTCCTTCTGAGCCTGTGGATTAGGCGCCGCTCTGGGATTTTACTCCAGGTCTCTTGAAAGCTAGGAGCACGGATTGCATCCCAGAGGACCCTGCCGTCCATCCTGTCTGTCTGTCTTGTCCTGCTGCCTGGGCCTGCTGAAGTGTTTGTGCTGCCTGCGGGGGTTGGGGGGTGGGGGGCGTCAGACTACATCTTGTGACCCCCCCCCCTTGCCCTGCACTGCCCTACTTGTGCAGCACAACTCAGTGGGTGTTCTGGACCCGATAGCTCCCTGGGACTGAGCCCCGGGACGTCCTTCTGGGTGAGTACCAGGTTCTCCCTGGGTGGATTTTCCATGCTGGCCAACCAGTAGGTGACGGTGGGAGCCTGGCGTTGTCACTGCTGGGTGTCCATGGGCAACTGCTCCTGCCTGAGCCTGGGGCTCCTTGGCGGTCAGCTGGGGAAACAGGGTGTGTAACTTTGTACCCCGCAGGAACTGCGCCCCCTCTCCTGGTGGTTCCAGGTTGTGCGGACAGGCTAAGTGGCCGCAAGGTGGGTGTACCTCCCCTGTGATGTCAGATCTCTCCCGCAGTGTTGTGGGGGCGCCCGGGGCAGGAGGTCGTGTTGACCGGCACGTGGGAGGTTCATGGGGGCTGGTGGACCAGCCGGTGGACAGTACCACACCATCGCGCGTGAAGCTACTGACGCTTGCTTTTGCGGCTGGCTGCAAGGTGCGGGCAGTGCATCCTGGGAGTTGTGGTTTCGCGGGCCGTGGGCGTAGCTATTGCTCCTACGGCACAGCTATTGGGCAGTGGGTAGGCTGCGTGCCGCCTACCCCCTGTGCATGCTGCTCCCTCGTGATTGGCTCAGCTCTGGGGCGCATCAGCCAGGAGCAGGGCCCCACTGAGTGCCGGACGGAGATTGGTGGGGCACGGCGGGGGCGCGGCGGGGGCGGGCCAGCGCATGCGCCTGATGGTCTAGCGCTGAGCCGGCAGGCGGGCCCACTGCCAAGATGTCGGCGGCGGCGCTACCCGAGCTGAAGCAGATCAGCCGGGTGGAGGCTATGCGCTTGGGTCCGGGCTGGAGCCACTCGTGCCACGCCATGCTGTATGCCGCCAATCCCGGGCAGCTGTTTGGCCGCATCCCCATGCGGTTCTCTGTGCTGGTGAGGACGGCGGGGCGGGTGGGCCAGGGGCGCGGGCGGCGTGGCCCGCCGTGACCGGCTCCCCTTGCAGATGCAGATGCGCTTCGACGGGCTGCTGGGCTTCCCTGGCGGCTTTGTGGACCGGCGCTTCTGGTCATTGGAGGATGGGCTGAACAGGGTGCTGGGCCTGGGCCTGGGCTGCCTGCGCCTCACCGAGGCCGACTACCTGAGCTCGCACCTGACTGAGGGCCCGCAGCGCGTCGTGGCGCACCTGTACGCGCGGCAGCTGACGCTGGAGCAGCTGCACGCCGTGGAGATCAGTGCCGTGCACTCGCGGGACCACGGCCTGGAGGTGGGGCCCCGGGCTGGCTCTGGCCCCGCGCAAGGCCCCGATGGGTAACACGTCCCGGGCGTCCCGTGTCGGCAGCGGGCGGGCCGGGGCTTGGGGGCCGGGGTGGTGCCTGCCTTGCTGCCTGCCATTGCCAGTCCTGGGAGCCGGGGAAGGAGGTTGGGGAGGGGCAGGGTGTGGCATCTGGGGGTGTGGGGGGTTCACTGGTTGGGAGGGAGCGCATGGGGTGGGGTGGTTGGAAGGGGCATGAGGGCTGGGAAGGCTGGTACGGTGGCTCCATAGCTCTGGCCCTGAGTGCCCTTGGCCAGCAGCAGGCCAGGGTGCGACCCGGCCTGACCCCGTCTCCTCTCCGCATAGGTGCTGGGGCTTGTGCGTGTCCCACTCTACACCCAGAAGGACCGCATGGGGGGATTCCCCAACTTCCTCAGCAATGCCTTCATCAGCACCGCCAAGTGCCAGCTCCTTTTTGCCCTCAAGGTGCTCAACATGATGCCCGAGGAAAAGCTGGCTGAGGCATTGGCCGCTGCCACGGAGAAGCAGAAGAAAGCCTTGGAGAAGCTGCTCCCAGCATCCTCCTCCTGAGGGGCCCAGCCTGCCACCTCGATCACCTTCCCCTGGCTCTCTTGGCTGACCCTCCATCCCGTGGAAGTGTGTGTTCTAGTGTGTGTCCCTGCCGACTGCCCGGAACTCAGGTCTGCAGGGGGAGGGGGGCGGGCTGGGTCCCTGCCCCAGGCCATCGATGCTGAGGTGTGTCGCTGCCACAACTCGCCTATCCGTGGACGGTTTATACCCATGGAAGACGCTGATGTCCAGGTAGAAGCATTCCTGCATCCCCCAGTCAGCCTGGGGCTTGAGAGCCAGGTGGGAGGGGGTTTTGTGCTGTTCATTTTGGCGGTGGTTGGATTTACCGGGGTTGTGTTCCCTTGAGCTGGGCATGGTTCCAGAGGGTAGTCATGGGGGCAAGAGGAAGATAAATAAAGCAGCTCCACCGCCGCTCTCAGTGTGTTCTCTGGTCCCAGCCCTCAGCTTGGTTTGGTGTCTTCTGGGCTGAGCCCACTCTTCCTGGAAACACCCGCTGCTTTCTCCATTCTTAGTACAAGCTGTTCAGGAGAAGGACCTGAAGTGCAGGCCAAGGACTTGGGACAGTGGCAGGTCTGGCTGCTTTGGGTGCATATTCAACCTTTACAGAGTCTGGAAACCTGAGGTTCTAGCCCAGTGAAAAATTTGTGATTAAGTGCTGTTGAGTAAACCTCCATAGGATTTCCGAAGAGCGGCTGGTACATTGAAGGCAACCTTTCAGTTCCCATTCTAGTGTTTACCCTACAGTGTGTTCCTCCTCTCCAGCCTGAGACCTGGACTCCGCACCTGGCTGAGCATTGACCCTGGGGGTACAGTGGGCTTGGGGCCGTAACTGAGCCTCTTCACCAGCCGATCATAAACTTTATTTTCCAGCAAATGACACGTACTGACCAGGCGCCCTGTCCATACCCCAAGGTCAAGCCTGGGTCTGGCACCTGTGGCTCATGTGCTGTCCCCAACGCCCTGGGCTTCCTGCACATTGTGGGCCACCAGCCCTGAGTGACTGGCCCTGCGCGGCCTGCTCGCCTCTGCTCTGCCGTCTTCGGCTCCTCGGACCGCTGCCCTCAGTGTCCTCCTGGCGTACAGGTTCAGGGTGGATTAATCACCCGACGTCAGATTCTGAAAAGAAAGGCCCCAGTGACCAAGAAGGGGAGGCAGGGGGGGTCCGGTCCCCCTGCAGCCCAAGTTGAGCCCACCCTCAGTACTCACTGGCCCATTTGGCTACGGCTCCCGCCAGTTCTGTCTTCCGGTCAGCACCTGCAACTTCTCCAAGCTTTGGGTCACGGACCACAGTGCCTGTCCTGAGGCAGGAGACCAGAGCCCCCTTCTCAGTGGCTGCAGTCTTCCACCCCTCCCCTCCCCTCTGCAGGAGCTGTGCCTTGGGCAAGGTGCACATGCTGCCTCAAGACTCACCCATCTCCTGGACACGGTCCTCCAGGGCTCTGGACAGCTCAGGGAGGCTCAGGGCCTGCAGGGATGCCGGCCAGTCTCTGTAGTCTGTGGGGCAGAGGGCTGCTGGGCCCGGGCTGTGTGTCCTGTGGGGCCCCCGCCTCTGCCCTGGACCCCCTCTCACATGGCAGGTCAGGGTGAGGCCAAGCTGCTCGGAACACTGTATGGCTCCAAGTGAGCCAGGGCAGTGGCCACTCAGCTCAGCCCACACTCACCTCTCCAGCTACCAGAGGGAAGAGGCAGTCCTCCTCATCCCAGGGAGACCCGCAGCGGTAACTAATAGGACAGATGGCCTGAGATGCGTCCACCCTCCCTTACCTAAGGCAGTATCGGATACAACTGGGTCCAAGGTTGTCCCACCTGGGAACTCGTCCTGCCTCACCCGGGCTGCGAGCTCTGCTTGGCAGAGTCTGTGGACACAAGACCTTACACTAATGGTGTGTGTATGTATGGAGCAAGGGGTCCCAAGATGATGAGGGCTGACCCCCTCCCCAATATCCAGTCTTAGAGGTGAGGCCTGGGCACTGAAACAAGCTGTATGGGGTCCCACCTGGGCCAGCTTTGCAGAGGCCAATAGCAAAGACAATGGAGTGTGGCAGTACAGTGACACTCCAGAACCTCCCCAGAAACAGCCGTGAGGGGCCACTCACCGTAACTGGTCCAGGACAAGGGTGGCATCATGGGCGAGGGTCTGGGTCTGCTGCAGCTGGGTGTGTGCGGCCTGGCGGGCGCTGTCCTGCTCTAGGAGGCAGCCCTCCACCACAGCGCGCAGCTCTTGTTCCTGTGATACTTGGCCCCGTACCGCCTCCAGCTCCTCACAGCGCTGGGCACAGGGCTTGGGGTCAGATCTGCCATGACACCCTCCCCAGCTTCTCTGCTGACCCTTTGGGGTGCCCCCGCCCCACCTTGTTCAGTTGGAGAGCCAGCTCCTGCATCCCGGCCTCCAGCCGGTCAGCATAGGCCAGTTCCAGGGCATCCCCAGCGGGGCGTGCACTACTGTGCCAGCGGGCGATGGCAGAGGTCATCTTCCTCTTGGGCCCAAACAACCTTCGGGGTGAGGGAGGGGCCAGTGGTCAGCATTTGCAGGCACCGTCCTCTTCCATGACTGTCCTGGCCACCCCCACTGGCTTTCTCTGCAGCAGCTCTGCCCTGTCCCAGGTGTGGGCAAACCTGCCTCAGGCGTGGGCAAACCTGCCTCAGCCAAGTCGGGAAGCAGCCAATCGCTAGCTGGTGGTAACAGTCTGAGAGCCCTTGGGAGGGAGCTCACCTGAGTGCCTCCTAGCAGGTGTGACTGAACAGAAGGGGCAGCCGGCTCAAGACCAGCTTCTAGACGGAAGAGGCGGGGGACCGACCTGCCCGGCACTCACGTTATGCCGATCTCCTTCAGGTCGCTCTCGGTGAGGGTCAGGAAGATGCGCAGGTCCACATCCTGCTCCTCAAACACCTGCAGGTACTTCAGACACCCAATCTGCTCCAGCAGTGCCGCAAGGTCCTGGAGGGCGAAATGGGGCCAGGATGGCTCAGACCCTGCAGCCCCCCGGCTTCCTCAGTCAGCACCAGGTAGTGTGGCAAGGCGGGAACACAGGGACACATTCCCAGATGGGGGTTCCTGAGACACTGGGACATTGCATGTGACTAGTCACTTGGCTTGCTCCTGTTATGATTCTGTCGTTGGCACCACAGTCCGTGAGGTGCACAGATGGGGCGGGTGGAGTTTGGGAAGATGTGCAGGCTCATTTGGGAAGTTCTCAGTTGTGGATTCTTCCATCGTCTTGCTCTCCTGCTGGATCCAACTAGGGTCTGCTGTCTGCCTGCTGGTGTCTCTGTATTTCCCCACTCTCTTCTCTTTGTCCCACTCCAATCTGATTTTGAATCCCTCTGGAGAATTCTTCATTTCAGTTACTGTACTTCTCAACACCAGCATTTCTCTATGGATAATGCCCATACTTCCCTTCAGCTCTCCGAACACACACACAACAGAGCTGGGGTCACGTCTTGGTCTAACAAACTAGTCTCCATCTGGGTTTCTTCCAGTATGCTTTTCGGCTGGTGGCTTTGTCATCTGTGTATGAGCAGACGGTTTCTTTGCATGTCTTACATTTAGTTGTTGAAAACCGGATGCTTCCAATAACCATGTGGCAAGTGGAAATCCCATCCCCTTGGCTCGCATGGCTGATGTTTGGTGCTGTTTGTTTCGTGAGTGATTTCAGAGATAATTCTGGAAAGTCTATATCCTTTGCCATGTGTAGCCACTGAAGTCTACAAGGTTAGCTGCTTGTTAGTGCCACTGAATCGATTCCAACTCGTAGCCACCCTCTGAGACTATAAATCTTTACAGGACCAGAAAGTCTCATCTTTCTCCCACAGAGCGCCTGGTGGGCTCCAACTGCCAATGTTGTGGTGAGCAGCCCAGTGCTTATCCTTCAGAGCTACGGTGTTCCCTACGTGGTTAGCTTATTGTACAAGTGCCACTGGCTTGGTTTTCCAACTCACGCCACCCTGCAGATCGTGGTCCAGTGCTAACCCTGCAACGCCACACAGTTAATAACTGCCTTAAGCGCCTGGAACCAGTCTTGGTCGATAGGCTGTGTATGTTGGGGCACACCTTCAATACCTGGCCAGGCTGCTGACAGCTCTGCTTACTCGAGTCATTCAGAGGTGAGAACGTAGGGGCTTTCCTGAACAGGTGTGTGACTCTGCAAGCTTGTGGCCTTTCAGGTTGTTAGGACTATGCCAGGATGTCTCATTCCCAGCTTCCCTTGCGGTTCCTCTGTTACTGGCCTCACACGTCACCTAGCATCTCAGGTATCATGTCTGTAACTGTGCCCCAGTGAGGAGGGACTTCTCTGTACAGTGGGGGAACAAGCTCAGAGTCAGATCAAACATACATGGCCATCATCCCAAAAAGTGCCCTTATCTTTCTTTACCTGGGGTCCTGAGTGGGGGGCCCTCTGGGCTTGGGGGAGGGGCCCTGAGGGGCAGGCTGCCCCAGAAGATGTGGTGCTGGGAGAGCACTGGCTGTCACTGTTGTTGTAACGGCTCTTGGTCTTCATGTAGCTTTTTGTTTGCTTGCGGACTGAGCTTTTACGGGCATGATCGGAATCCTGCGTAAGAAGCATGTGGTTAAAGAGCCTGGAGCTTCTGCGTCATCCTCTGCCCGACATTCCCCACCTGTCACCTCCCTTGCATTTCTCAAGCTACTGGGGGGGTGGGGGTAGGGACAGGAGAACTGGTACCTCGTTGCTCTCCAGAGAGGCCTCACTGCTGATGCCCTGGGCCCTGGGCAGCCCCTTGCCACTGCTGCTCCGGGCAGTCCCACAGTTGGCACAGAAAGCCTGCTCATCTGGCAAAGTGAAGAATGCTGACCCACCAGGCAGGCGCACTCGTCCACTTCTTCAACAGTGTAATGTTTTCTTCTGGGCACCAGAGAGTGTGTCCCCAACCCCTTCTGCCCTAAGAACAGTGCCCTCGGTTGGGGCTGGGTGAGTGGGCCCATCTCCTCACTAGACCAGGGTCCTTACTGCACCGTCCACACACCATTATCTACTAGGAGGAGGGGTGGGCACTCAGGAATTCCTACACCTGGAGCCCAGGCTGAGGTGGGTTCAGGACGGTTCGGGGGGTGGGGGGCACATACCCCTACTGCTGCTGCTGCTGCTCTCCACATCCCGCTCGTTGATGGGGGAAGTGACGTCCCGGTAGCAGAGGCCCCCCACTTCCAGGGGGTTCTCATCACTGCTGTTGAAGGAGACATAGCCCCGAGGAGGCACCTGCTCTGTATACAGAATGGGGTGCATAAGTCCACATGTAGCCAAGAGAAAACAGTGCCCTTGTCCCTGCCGCAGCAGTCTCCTCAGGGCTCTCACTGTCGGAGGAGACCACCGGGAACCAGCGCTCAGGCACAGGGCAGCATCCACTCCGGAGCCTGTCATAGCCTGGGCCTGCCCCACTGGCTGGTTCTCAAGCCAAGCGTAGAAGCTGGGCTATGCTCACAGGTTCCAGGGTTATATAGAAAATACACTCACCCATGCCTGCTCATCATGCATGTACCCACACACAAATGCACACTCACCTGCCTGCATCTTCCCTGAGACTTCTAAACAGGCCTTAGAACCCTCTGCAATCCACCCCAGCCAAAAAGATCTGGCTGAACATGCAGGTAAAGGTCAAAGGTCCCAGGCTAAAAATTAGCCGCTGCCACACACACTTCCACAACTACAATGTATGTGTTTACGGAAAAGGGGCAGGACACACGACTAGAGTGTCACCAAGCATGGGCATGGCTGGCAAAGAGAAGATGTGCATCTAGGGCTAGTTCAGACACAGCATCGTGAGGGACGGTCCAACGGCCCCTGGAACGCCAGCGTGGTGAGACCCTGGCAGGACCCCACTGCTGAGCATTCTCCCTACTCACTTCAGAAACACTTACTAGACGGGCTCGGGGAGCCATTCGGGCAGGTGGGAAGGACATCTGGCTGTGCGAGTCAACCGCACACGCTTTAGGCACCTTGGACTGGGGCTGGGGAGCTGTCAGCTCCTGCAGCCCCCTGTGTGTCTACCGTCCTCTCCCAGTGCGAGTGAGTATAAGCATCTCAGGGCTGGCTCCTGAAAAGGGTCTCCTTGCCCAGAGCAGCTGACTCAGCCTGGCACGGATGGCACTCATCCCTGAGTCCTGGCAGCCTCCTGCGAGCCCCCTGTAGTCCACAATCTAGTCCAGAGCACCAGCGGACAGTTCTCAGAGCTGCAAGGAGAGCCTGGCCCTAGCACATGCCCAGGTGAAGTGAGACTGCAGCGGTCACATTTCCCTGCGCTAGGGGAGCCATCTGAACGATGAGTGAAATCAGAGCTGAGCTACCAGCATTCTATTCTGACATAAGCCAACAGTAAAAGAGTCAAAAGATGAACCAGATCTCAACGTGCCCGCCCAGCACTGTAATCGGCTGTGAGGCTCACTCCTGGTGAGAAATGTCAGCAAGCCACCAGGAAGTGGGACTGCTCACCATAGCAAGGCTGCGGGGTCCTGCTCCCAAGTCCAATGGCAGTGATCCTGGCCAAGGCGCGCGGCCCCTCGTGGATGCTGAGGCCCTTCTTCCGGCATGGTCTCTGTCTCTGAGGAACAGAGCAGGATTCGTCGGATGAGCTTAAGTCTTCATATTTTTCTGTGGGTCAGACATCAAAATTAGAGCAATTTGTTCAGTGATGGACTAATTTACCACTACTAAATCAAACCAAAAAGACAAGTTAACTGGTGTTTTCAAATTAATACAAAGAAGAATGTGCCCCCAAGGACTTGACTTGCAAGGAATGACACAGTGGACCTGTCCATTGCTCAAGACGGGCCACAGGGACATCAGAATTGGTGGTGACTTGCTAAACATGAGGCTGAACTGAAACCATTTAAGACAATGAGGTAAAAGACACTTTCCCCGACTTTTCTCTGCCTGTGCTTGCATTTGTTCTGAAAGACAGACATTATGTTTACAGTCTGAGATAAATTTTAAGTTTAAACGATAAGAGCTATCAGTGAAAATACAGGAACATGAATCACAACCTCTTCAGCAATTTTATATTTTCAGCCTGAACAACTTTTTGGGAAATGAATGCCAAATGTTTGCTATTGAGAGTTTTGCAAAATATTTCCAATCACTGTCCCATCTGAGCTGAAAGAGCTGAACGTGTCCAATCACCATTTAACAGGTTCTGGCATCTTCCATCAGGTGTCCATCTGAGAAGCAAGGCACTGAACTGAGTGACAGATCCTCATCTTAGGACATCCTGGATGTGCAGCTAGCCAGGAGCGGGTCCCTCATGTGACCTCACACCACGTGAGCTGCTGTTTACTACACAACACATCCGACGTCAAGAAGGACACTGGGCAGAGTCCTGCTCACAGAAATGCGGCCCCGAGTGGCCACATGCTCCTTCCCACTCACAGCTGCTCAAGGCTCTACACCAATGGGAGGAGAGTACAGGCCTGCCCAAATAGGGGATGAAGGATGTTATTTAAAAATACAGGGACCTAAGTGGAATTTTGGGAAGATGGCAGTGCAAACTCACCACTCTTCCGGCCCTCCCTGACAAATACAATAAGGAAATGGAGCTTGGCTTTGAAGACCGCTGAATCGGGGAGCAGCAGGGGACTGCAGGCAGGCAGGCGTCAGTGAGTCTACCACTTTCATAGGGTAGGAAAGTCGCTTCTCCCAGCCACCAGGGCCACCAGCTGCTGTGAACTGGGGAAAAAGCCTGGAAAAGGGGTCTGTGTTCCTAACCACCACGGCCTCTGCTCTACAAAAATGACCCTAAAACCCACAAGGGGTTCCCTTCAGTGTGTGCCAGTACCTCTCCCACCTGGACACTGATGGCTACGAGCCTGCGGTCATCCTGGCCAAGGCGAGTAGCCCCAGAAGGCCCTGCAGTGGAGTCCGCAACCACGTCACCCCTACCTGCCTCCACAGATGCCATGTCACCCAGGGAGTGTTTGTTCCCCATTCCAGTTGGCGTGGAGGACTGCTAACAGACTGCTGTGGGCTACGAAATGAGAGGAAGCTAGACCCACAAGCAACATACTACATGGGGGGGGTTGAGGGGATTTCTGAGAGCAACAAGACAGCTGTCCCTAGGAGTCCACTAACTCAACCTCAACCAGTCACTGCTGGTTACGAGACTGACAGAAGGTTCCCTACAGTGACGTCAGAAGGTGGCCCCAAGTAGAAACTGCTCCACCAACCAGCACAGGGCCACTAGGGTTCTGGAAACAAGAAGACCCACTGTCTCAGGTCTTTCTGGGAAGTGCCAGTCTCTCCTCCTGAAGCAGGAGAGTCGGCCTGTGCTCCCCTGACTTCCAGCTCAGACAGAAACAGCCCCAAGAGCAGCGAAGGCAGCCCAGGGCCAAATGGAAGGTGAACACCCAGAGAAACACCGATGGAAACTCTACTCAAACTCGTGCAGAACATCAAAAGGGATGGAACACCCACCCCCCAACCCCCATGTTGATTTTATGAAGCAACCATAACTCTCAAACCAAAACCAGGCAAAGTCATCAATGAAAAAGAAGAGACCATTATCCTTCATGAAGGGGAATACGCTGAACACAGGATAAATAGTAGCAGACAAAATAGATGACTAGGACCTCCTAAAAATTAAGAGACACTTAGTGCCTCTAAACATTTCACAAAAGAGTACAAAGAAAACCTATAGGCTAGGAAAAAAAAATTAGCAATGACATACTAGCTAAGAGACTTAATTGCTAAACTTTACAAAACACTTCAATGCCTCAACAAAAAAAGAAAGAATTCTATTTAAAAACGTGCAGAGGACACAAAAACACACTTCACCCAAACCGTTCAGGCAGCAACACCTAACAGATGCTGGCAATCAGCAGCTGTCAGATTTCATGGGATAAGCGCAGGGTCACGCTCACCAGCTGCTCTCCTGGTCTGATAGAAACTGAGGGAACCCCCCACGACTCTGACACTTAGACACCCTTCAAGTCGAACTGAACTCACCCCTGTAGCTCAACTTTCAGCCCAACTGCAATCAGGTGAACACAGGACCGAGGAGGTACACACTCTGCCCTCAAAAGAGCAGCATTTGCTGAAGGGCAAAGCTCCGAAGGCAGAAGGGGCAAGAAAGACGGTTAATGGAGCCAGTACCACAGGGAGGAAGTGGAGGGGGGCTGCAGTCATCGTAACAAAACAAAAGGTGTAAAAATGGAATGGAAAACACATTTGGTCTTTCACCCAAATCATAATTAAAAAGAGAAAAAACCCAAACCGTTCACATCATCAGCAGACAGACAGAGGATACTGTGGTAGAGAAACCCTGTTTACAAGGCCAACAGCGAAGACAAAGCAGAGTAAACCAAAGTGATGTCCAAGAGCTCCCAGGAAACCCTGCACAGCCTCCCTGCCAGACATGAAAGTGCATTTGAACAACAACACAACCCTTGTTCTTGGATGCCATTCATTTAAAAATAGACCACGGTCTTAAGAAAACTAGCACTTTGCTTTTAAGGAGCTAAACAAGTTGACTCTCAAGTTCCTGTAGAAAAATCGGAAAACACAGAAACAGAAAAGCTCTGAGGAGGAACTAGCTCTTAATCTCCTAGTTACTAAAACTGACGAAATGAAGCCTCTCTCATTAGAACAGTGGGGGTCTGGATGTGATTGGACCAACGGAAATGAACACAAAGTGCAGATGCAGACCCAGTTCCCAGTGGGAGCACCAATCCCTGGGGCAAAGCTGACCTTCTAAATAAACAAGACAAAACTCGATCCACACCTCACAGGAGAACAGCATTCCAATGTAAAAATACTGAACCAAGAAAGCTAGCATTCTTACACACCCAGGGTGTACACAAAGGTTTCTGTGACTTAAAATCCAGAGATAATGAAACTCCACACCAAGCCGACTTAACTGCTATGGATTCAATTCGGACTCCTGGTGACCCTGTGGAGCTTTATGAGCTCAGAAAACCTCATTTGTCTCTCAGGGCATGGCTGGTAGGGCTGAGCAGCCGGACTTGCAAGTTCATAAAGTTTTCATATCTAGATTAAGAAGTAATTTCCCCTCATAGCAGTCCCGTGCTTACTCTACAGCACCACCAGAGGCAATAAAAGATTGACAAATGTAACTACAAAAATACTTGAGATTTCTGGCCAGATGGCGGCCTTTAATAAAACATCTTCAAATGGCAAGGAAGTCAAGTAGATTTCAAAATAAAACAGTTTTAAATGAGGAAAAAAAATTTTTTTTAATTACAGGGTAACCTCAAAGAAACTTAATGCAGGTTCTATCAAACCAAAAATGGCAAACCATAAAGGGTAGTAAGCATTAAAACAACAGCAATGAAGAAATGAGAGGGAAATCCACAAACAGAATGAACTCAGGGTGGAAATGTACAATAAACTAGCCACACCACACACAAAAAGACAGCAATCAATTCATACCTATCAATACACTGAATATAAATGAATTCAGTGTACCAGGCAAGAGACGTACCTTACACACAAAGGCAAAAATAAAAAAAAGATGGGGAAAAAAATAGCTAACAGCAATAGTAAACAACCAGGAGTGGCAATATTAATAATCTCTGATAAAATAGACTTTAAGGCAAAAAGAAGCATAAGGGACAAAGAAGGACATTATCTCACGATTAAAGGTCAACTGAACAAGAGGATATAACCATAACATCTATGACCCTAATGAAAGAACTTCCAAATGGATGAACTTTAATACTTAAAAGAAATAGGCAATTCTACAATAATAACGGGATTTTAATACACCACTTTCTATGAAGGACAGAACAACTCGAGAGAAACCCAACAAAGACACAGAAGAACTAAACAACACAATCAACCAACCTGACCTCGGAGACATACACAGAGCACGCAACCCAACAACAGCACGATAGACATTCTTCTCCAGTGCACATGGAACATTCTCCAGAACAGACCTTATGTTAGGCCACAAAGCAAACCTCAATAAATTTAAAAACATCAAAATACTACAGAGCATCTTTTCAGAACCCAATGCTATAAAATTAAAAATCAACAGTAGGAAGTTCAAGGGGGGAAAAAATAAAATACATGGAAATTGAACAACACCCTGTTTAAAAGCTACTGGGTAATTGAATAAATTAAAAAATGAAATAAAAATTCATAGAATTAAACAAGAATGAAAACATACCACTATCTTTGGGACACAATAAAAGTAGTCCTTAGCAATTTACAGCAATAAACACATACAGCCAAAAAAAAAGAACCAAAATTAACACCTCACGTTAACATCTACAACCATTAGAAAAAGAATAGCGAGACTAAGCCTGTAGCCACCAGAGGAAAACAAATAAATATTGTTGTATTGTTATTGTTGTTGTTGTTATGTGCCGTGGAGTCGGTTCCGACTCATAGCGACCCTGTACAGGGTTTCCGAGGCTGTAAATCTTTACAGGAGCAGAACGCCTCATCTTTCTCCCGCGGAACAGCCGGTAGTTTCGAACTGCTGACCTTAAAGTTCACAGCCCGATTCGAAACCACTACGCTACCAGAGCTCCTTTATTAGAGGAGACATAAAATGAAAAACAGAACAATAGAATCAACAAGAAGTTAATGGCTTAAAAGGATCAATAAAATTAACAAACTACTGGCAAATCTAAAAG